AAAATTGCAAAAATGGTTCCAGTACCAGCGTCAGGCCCAGGTTGACAGGCCGGCTGATGAAGACCCCCGTCACAACAAAACCATGTCTAAAGTCGAAAAAGAATCAGTGATAAAGCTAGGACGTCACCCGGAAGTGGCGCGCAGAACCCCCGCCCGAGTTCTGTGGTCAGTATGCGAGGGCTACCGAGGAGTGAACGGCCTCGGCCAAAGAAGCTAGTTCGAATAGGGACTGAACGTAGGATCGCTAACTGGGAAGTCCCGAGAGGTTGCTGATCTGATGACGCGCAGGAATATCCAAGTCCTATGCCTTCAGGAGACGCGATGGAAAGGTGCTAAGGCCAGGGAAATCGGGGAAGGTGTCAAGCTCTACTACAATGGAGAAGACACCAAGCGGAACGGCGTGGCCATAGCGGTAGCGGAGTCGCTCAAGGACTATGTCTCCGCTGTGAACAGGATCAGCGATCGGATCATGGCTGTGAGGATAGACACGAAGGAGGGGTACTGGTCAATACTGTCAGTGTACGCTCCGCAGACCGGATGCCCCGAGAGTGAGAAGGACGAGTTCTACCTGAGGCTTGACGAATGCCATCAGATCGATCCCGGAAAGGCGATTACCTGACCATAGCAGGTGACCTGAATGGCCACGTCGGCAGTGATAGAAGAGGTCTAGAAAGGGTGCACGGAGGTAGAGGGATAGGAACGAGGAACGCTGAGGGAGAGAGGGTTCTGGACCTGGCTACAGCCCACGACTTGGCAGTCTGCAGCACGTTCTTCGCGAAAAGGGAGTCTCAAAAGGTAACCTACAGCAGTGGAGGGAGACAGACGGAAATCGACCATGTGCTGGTAAGAAGATCAACCCTCAAAACTGTGAAGGATATCAAAGTTCTACCCGGCGAAGACCTGGCTCCCCAGCACAGGCCCCTCCTGGCAGACATTGCGATAGACCTCCCCAAGAAGACAAGGGTAAGAACCGAGAGGAGAAAATCCGATGTGGTGGAAGCTGAGAGGGGTGGAAAGCGCACCAAGAGGAGAAGGGTGAGCTCAGGCGAAAGATAGAAGAAGTCGGTCTCCCAGATCCTAACGGGCCAACAGCGGACTTGGGGCAACGCGGCTGAGACCATCCTGCGATGTGCCAAGGAGGTACTGGGCGAGACGCGAGGTGGATTCAGAGGAGACAAGGCAGCGTGGTTCTGGAACGAGGAGGTCCAGCGAGTCGTGAAGCAGAAGAAGGAAGCATACAAGCGCTGGCAGAAGACCCGGAGCCCCGAAGACCTCGCTACCTACAAGAGTTGCAAGAGGCTCGCTAAGGCTGCTGTCGCCAAGGCGAAGAACACGGAAATGGACGCCTTGTACGAGAAGTTGGAAAGCAAGAGGAGGTGGGAAGAGTACTACGGTGCACTTCTGCAACGAGGAGTTCCCCCACGAGAACAACTCATCGGGCAGAGGCCACAGCTGGTCCCATCGCAATCTCGGACTGAGATGAGGTTAAAGCAACAGTCCAGGAACGAATTTGCGGGCCAAAAGCACCTATATGGAAGTTGTAGGTGAAAAGTGGTCGAACGTAAAGAGAAAAAGTGAAGAAAACGCCCAACTGGGGCTTAGACAGGGACATGCCCTGCCGTTTAGGGAGACGTGTGTTGGACGAGTTGTCCGAACCTGCCCGTAGTACATGCGCTTTAATTGCAACTGCTGGCAAATAGCTGCATGCTTGCAAATACATAACTATTTGCCAGCAATCGAAATTGAAGCGCTTCAATTGCGTTCTTATGGAATCGACCTCATACAGCGCGGCGGTCCCGCAACGACCGCTAGTCAAGCGCGACTCTGCACAGCGTATGTTGGGCGATCCGCCTCTTTATGGGTGATCCGCCCCCTCCAAGAGGACTTCGACCCCTTCCAGCGCATTTTAGAGGTAGGTTTTGAAATTAAAGACATTTCCTATAAACTTTAGTTGGGCTGGGGCATGTTTTGACCGCCTAATGACCAAGTAGTTGAAACCCTGCCTGGACTGTTGCTTTAACTGGGAGGATGAAGGTGATAGCGCTGCCCAGCATGGGGTCCAATCGAGGCATTGAAGCGCTCGGAGAAGTAACGGTATAAGGTGAGGTAGGTCGTCCATGTCAAGGCGAATGGTGACAATGACGCTCACTACCGCGGATCAAGTTACTTGCGCATAACCATGAACTGTACGAGCGCTAATCGAACTCGAAAAGCTGAAGGACGCGGTTTTTCAGAGGTGCAGACATGAGTCTAACCTCTTAACACTCGGCTATCCCTGCCCTCAGATATGCCCTCATATTAAATGACAATAATTTTAATCATTACACTGTTACGGAAGGGAAATTCCACCTAGCGTTCAAGGAAGCTAGAGCTGCTCTACCCTTCGCTTCCTGTACTTCCCTGTAGGACCATAGCTCTTCTGGCAAAAGGCTGAAAAAATGCTTAAACGTTGATGAGGATGGCTTTTCTAGAATCGGTTCAGGTAGTCCGTGGACCGGATTTGCTTCCTGCCGTCTGCTATAGCGCGGTAGCTGCAACTGCACAACAATGCTTCAGCTTTTTGTGCGATCAATGCTCCAAGCTCAACTTCACACATGCTTCGTAGATCGCTTTTCTAGCGCTAGTATTTATACACATTATGAGCTCTACCGAGGAGCGTTTAGAATTAGCTATTGAACCGTCATCAGACTCGGAACGAAGACGGATATCGTTAAAAATATACACAGTTGAGGTACTTCTCGCAATTTCTGATTCTACTGCTTATTTACTCGTGTTTATTGCCTATTTACTTGTACTTAACTTGTTCAGGTTTCAAGTTGTTGCGCCTATCTTTTATTTGTCGCTCTCGCATTCGTCACTGGAAATGCTGTCATAGAGTCTTCAATACACAACAAGTCTCTTTCTGATGCCGGAACTGCCTTGACACCAAATAATTATGCCACCTCCATCTATACACTACTTGTTATTGTGTCTCTTGGAGTTGTGGTCGGATATCTCACACAGCTGTGCCGTCTGCCCAGCCTCTTAGGTATGTTTTTTTACTTCACTTTTGGTCCATCCCAACAAAGGAGGGAGGCGCTGTGGCTGCAGTAGTTGTACCGCCTCTTTTAATTCCATTTTTGTAGAGATAGGAACTTCCGAGGTGCGTGAACCTTTTCGATTCCTCCTTCATACCTACCCGGAGGTTTACGGACTACTTGATTTTTCCTCAATGGTCCTGCCGCGATGGCTAGAGCACAGACGATTAGAGAACGGGTGAATGCCCTAGGACTAAGCCTTGGGGTCGACGGACTACTTGGACTCAGCCCTTTAAACCGCCTCTCGCAAGCCTTGGAGAGGAGAGGGACCCGCGAGAGCGAGGGGTTAAAGGGCTGAGTTCAAGTAGTCCGTCGACCTTACCCGGTGCTCACTCCTACAAAATTACCCCTATTTTGTGGACGCCGCGAGAGAGCGCAGAGGCGGTTTAAAGGGCTGAGTACAAGTAGTTCCGTCGACCGGTGAATGTCATAGGACTGAGCCTTGGGGTCGACGGACTACTTGGACTCAGCCCCTTAAGCCTCTTCGCGCTCTCTGGCGGGTCCCTCTCCTCTCCAAGGCTTAGTCCTAGCGTCTCTGCTCTAGCCATCGCGGCAGGACCATTGAGGAAAAATCAAGTAGTCCGTAAACCAAGTTTTGAGAGAGACGGAGGACTCCACGTGAATAGCGTGGGTGGCCAGGGCTAACCAGGAAGGTCTTTCAGGGCGTGACAAGCTTTTTGAAAACGGTCTTTTGCATGATATAGGGGCAGATGCGGGAACCACAGAACCATGTTCAATTTTTCCTGAACGGCCCTCTGAATACCAGAAAAGGAGGTCCCTAGTTCGATTCCTCGTGGTGACAAATTTTTGCATTTCGAGTTGACGTTCCAAAATTCGCGCAAAATGGAGTTAGCATGAATAATTAGTACCATATTCATGATTAGGACCGTCAGTAACCCTTACAAATAGACTTTGATTAAAAAACTGGTGAAAAAGGTGTGACACCACAGTGGGGCTGCTTGGTGTCACACCTCTTACACCAATTTTTAAGTCAAAGTCTTTTTGTAGGGTTACTGACGGTCCTAATCATGAATATGGTACTAATTATTCATGCTAACTCCATTTTGCGCGAATTTTGGAACGTCAACTCGAAATGCAAAAATTTGTCACCACGAGGAATCGAACTAGGGACCCCTTTTCTGGTATTCAGAGGGCCGTTCAGGAAAAATTAAACATGGTTCTGTGGTCCCGCATCTGCCCCTATATCATGCAAAAGACCGTTTTCAAAAAGCTCGTCACGCCCTGAAAGACCTTCCTGGTAAGTTCAAGTATGTCGTCGATTACCGGTCTCACTCCACAAAATTGGGATCGCTGCTGGCGGCACGAACTTGCAACAAATTATTCCCTCCATTCCCCACCTTTCCCTCCACTTTCACTAGGTTAGACCCCCACTTTATGTATCATGTGCTTAGACTTGTTTCTAATTGCTTGCTGCTGTTTTTGGCCGCGGTTCGCCTTGCGAATTTCTCCCAAGATGAGTTATCGAATCGAAACGTTCGCCCAGTCTCGCCGCCCTCTTGCTTACGCGCAAACGTTTGAGGCGCATGAACTAAAGGAAGGAAAGCCTAGCTTCATGAACCGACAGAAGTGCTTCTCCTGCGTTAAAAGGAAGTCGCCAATCCCAGTGTATCGCTGAAAGGATTAGGTGCACCTAAGTTACTTTGCTCCTCGGTATGAGCGTTTTCAGCAAATCACCTGTTTTTCTTAGCAGTTGATCGACGTATTTATGTTCTTGGCGAAATTCGCCTAATCTTTTAAACTGGCATCTACCAACTTCACCTAAGATCGTGTTCATTTATCACGACTCAGCCCAATAGGCAATCAAGAGATCGCGTAAAGTAATGCTAGGGGGGAAGGGTGAGCCCACCGATACGCATGCAGTTTTTTGACTGATCGCCTCATTCGCCAGTTCATCTAGTCTTCTTTGTGCTCAGATGCTGCATATTTACTCTTCCCCCCCCCTTACAGGCTTATTTTCTATTCCCCTTGAGTCGCCAGCAATTAGCAGCGCCTAAGAAGAATGCAGACACTGTTGAAGTACGTTACGAGTATGACCTGGTCTAATTTTCCTTTCCAGTTGACACCGGGCTGGAGCCCCTGGCTAAAATCGTATCTTGAATGCATTAGTTGAACGTGATATTTAATCCTTGAAATTTCTTTAGGGATGCTCGTGGTCGGTATAGCCTTGAGAAATGTGCCAGTGATAAGTGGATCATTATTTGTGGTTAAAGAATGGAGTGTTATACTGAGAAGGGTAGCTTTTGTTGTGATTCTACTTCGCGGCGGACTTCTCTTGATGCTAGCGCGATTCGGGGTTGAGGTTGTGTTTGCTCCATGATAGGTCAAGTCCTAGCTGTTTCACTTATTTTTTAAGGGTGCTTGTGTTCGTTTGTCGCTGATTCCTTGTACGGTTGAAACGCTCGTTGTTGCCATATCGGCCAAATTAGTTTTTGGTATGGACATAATATTCGGCATACTACTCGGGTGAGTGGAAATCCTTGGATGTTTATTTTTCGCTTTGGAAATTTGATAGATGTGGTTTTGTTCTGGAGTTCTCGAAGTAGTCTTCCTTGAGTTCTTCAGTCGTCACATTGCCACTAAATAACCATAGTGGGCTTTTTTGCACGTCTGATGGGATATCGCGGCATTTTACCGTCACCTTTTTAGCGAAATTCCAGATAACATTTTTAGAACATGCTATGAATGACCGAAAGCGCAGTAGCATCTTTCATGTTTGACTGTCACCTGACGAATTTAGTCGTTGTTGAACGTTTCTCCCACAACAGTATTCATTGCATGTGGAATATCAACTCTCAGACCATTTGTTCTGCTCGACCGAGGCCTTAAACCTATTGGAAATGCTTATTGTGAATGCCGTGCACTGATTTCAGCGCAGTGCTGGGCGCCGTTTCCCCTGCTGTAGTGATTCCTGCTCTGTTGGACGCCTCTAAAGCAGGTATTTCCATTGAGATGAATCAATTATGAAGAGTATGCTACATTGCACTTTTGAAGGTTATGGCGTTCAAGCTGGTGTGCCGTCTCTGGTTATCGCTGCTGCCAGCCTTGATGATGTATACGCAATAACTATTTTTAGTCTGGCTTTGTCCTTGCTGTTTCCATCAGGTATTTTCCATGAGGTAGTTTTCACTGTAACTTTGACACTCACTGAATTTACCGAACTGACTCACCTTGCATTAGCAGGATGGGTGACTCTCTTGCAGAGTGCTTAGGCCGCCTTGATACATTTTTGGGGGATTAGGAGATCAAAGATTCTGCTGGAAGGATTATACGTATTGATTTATTTAACTGAGAATCACCTAGTCTCTCAAGACATAGCGATTGATCGCGTCCCTCCAGTCGTATAAGAATTATTCATCAGTGAATTATGGTGGTTTTGCGATGGCAGTTGCCGCGGAGTAAGCAAACCAGCCCTTTTGGCGTTTCTGCTGGGGCCGTATGCTGAATGTTGGGGAGGGGATGGGGTCCCCGAGGTCGACGGACTACTTCAACTCGGTCGGTACGGTAGGAGAGTGATGACGAAGTGGTGCAGCTAGGTCCAGCAGCTCCGCCAAAAGGGCTGGTTTGCTCCTGCTACATCGCGTTTTCATTGGGCAAATTGGTTTCGCTCGCTCATTTGAGTGCTTTGTTTAAGGCAGCAGTCCGTTGATGACGATCCTGGCCGCTCCCGCTGAGGTTTTCGCTGGCATATTCTTTGGAACTGTAATGGGTACGATTTTGATCAGTGTTCTGTCACATTATCTCCTGGGTTCAGAGTGTCTGTAACCTTATCGATTTTAGGATTTTTGCTCCACGTCCTACCGAGAAAAGAAGTGAAAAACCTACACCTTATTCGTCTATCGCTTTTGTTCACATTTTCCACCGCCATTCTTTTTGCTACAATTCGATATGGTGTGGACGGTGCAGGAGCCATAGCAGTCTTGGTGGCTGCATTTGTTGCAGGTCACTCATGGAAGAAAGAAGTACGTGCTGAAGTATCTATAGCTGCTTTTGTTGATTATCGATTCAATGCAGCTTGTTTACAGGGTCCCCTTCCCGAGGAGGATCATCTTGCCAATCTCTGGCACCTTGCCTTTCAACCGCTTTTGTTTGGCCTAATTGGATTCGAACTCAGCTTTGAAATGGTGTGTAGAGTCAAGTTCTTGCTACTGTTTAGTATATTCCATGCCTACGATAACAGTTAAAATAATTTTTGGTCCGTTTAGGAGAGTAATTGGAAGCTTAGCATTTTTCTCATTTATTGTTCGCATTCAACGCAGTAATTTTAGGTGCTGTCAAATACCATATTTTTTGGGTGTCTTGTGCTTGGAATCGGCTTGACGTTTCGGATTTATCGCTTCTTTCTTCGCCGTTTTTGGTACTTCCTTCACCATGCGTGAACGTTTCTTTGTGGCAGTGGCCTGGTTACCCAAAGCGACTGTGCAGGTAAGTATTGCTATCGAAAACACCTTTTAAATAGTTGTAAAATTTGCGTCATTATACCCGTATATCATCTCCTGGAAGAAGCTGCTTCAATTTGCCAGTTCTGGTCAACATGACAGAAGCGGAGGTAGAGAGGGAGGAGGGCAGGGAGGGAGAGAGA